AAATCCACAATGTTTATGCTTTCAAAATAATAATGGAATAAGTTGATCAGTTTAACTACCACTATGAGAATATAGTCCCACTCGGTAACACACTCTCTTGACTGTTGCGTACAATATTCACCCTGGTCGACACACACCCCTCAGTGGTGTTTGCATTGCTGGAGGTGGATCAACATTCATTAACTTTGGGTCCTCTCTAGGCATCACCTCATCATGTGTATGTTGTTTAACAGTGACGTCACTCTCCTCACTAATCAAACGAAACTCCATTCTCTCTTTTACTTCTACTCATTTTTCTCTCACTGTATTTTTTGATTTTCTGTTGATTGCAGAGTCACTTCTGCAACAACAAATCACAATGAATGGAAAAAAGAGTAGAGATACAAAACAAACGAGAGAGTGCAGTAACTGGTTTGAAAAACATTTAAACAAACCCTCACTGATTACCAGCCGATCTGGAACCACAATCTGCAAGAATGCCACAGACGTCAGAAAGAGAAAAAAAAATGTCCTTGCAAACCCCAATCAGATGAGCAATAGTGTACGAAATGAATTTATGGCTGTACATATGCACAACATCTGTCAGGTGAATGAAACAAAGTGTCACACACACAACTGAGAAATTCAGCATCCCAATGAGGAGATAATGTGTGCACATATGTGTGGGAGGGAGGGGGAAGCAGAGTACCAACTGCAGTTGCATCAAAGACTATTACATAAAAATGCACCAGAATAAATAAATAAATATGTATATGTATATGAAAAGTTATTATCCAATCCACTATACTTCCATTTCCCCTTCTTTAAATAACTGTCCCATTTCATCATTATTATTATTGTTCCACACTCCATTGGGCTGTCCAATGCATTTCTTGTTCTGCTGTCGTTTGATTGTGATTCCCCAGTTCCAAATACTATCCCCCACCACGGCGGTGTATACTCCCATTAGAATGAACACAACTCAGCCCCACCATTTCCATAGCAAACCAGAAACAATGCCGCAGACAGAGGGTCCAATTGCCAACACCAATGGAAACACAATCCATTCAGAGTGACATAATAAACACACTAACACATATTTACTGGCGCACAAGAGGTGACCCAAATCACATCCCCCATATTCAATATCAATCTTTTGATCCACTCCAGTGCATTCACTTATACACCATCAAACACTCCCATTGTTGATAATAAAACAGACCATATTCCCCTTTACAGGCTATCCTGTCTATTCAACTGCAAATGAACTCACAAAAGAGTACTCATTCACATTATACCATGCTCTATCCCTATTTATTTTACTATTATCTTCCTAAAATAACAAGGAAATTATGGAGAAAGAGAGGCACATACACATTACACGCCTTTTTGTTTTCCTTTTACACACATTCTGATGCTCTCCCTTTCACTCTTTCACACTCTGAGCTGAGCACAGCAAATGAGTTGATATTAGGCAGGAAAAAGAATCCTACAGAATTAGGTACTCAGCATATTCAAGAGCCAACACACATTAAAAAAAACAATAGAGTGGAAAAATAAAAATAAACACACATATATAAATAGATAAAACCGAATAAAGTAAACACAATATGGAATACACTTCCCTAATTCTACTGTCATCATCTGTTTAATTCATACCCAAGTTAACTCAGAAACAGGTGCGCCAAAAGGTTCCTCATTTGTCAAGGCGAGAAGAAGAAAGGTGGTGGTAGGTGAACAAGAATGAAAACAGGAAAATAAAATAAATAAATAAATATATAAAAGAATACTTTATTGAAAGTCTCTCAATCCCCAAACAAAAAAAGTTAAATAACAATACTTTACAAGCCTTCAAAATAAGAAAAGGATACGACGTACTGTTTTCATTATTAGTCATATCCTTCAAACATTTGTTTTCGTATCTACCTCATTTATTATAATTCGCTCATTAACAGGGTATCTTTTCCCCTACACCCCCCTTCGATTCTCTCTATCTACATTATTTTACCAACAAACAATGCAACGATAAATACATACATATGCATTGTACACTAACCAAGCAATCACAAACATTGATGGAGTGAAAGAGCTCATTCATCTCTACTTTTTTTTTTTAATTAACTATTTCACTAGTGTTTTCCCATTTAAAACATTTTTCTTTTATTGTAGGCTAATTAGTAATGCTTTCTTTGGCGTCGCTCACAATTATCAATTGTCTTTCTTTATCTTCTAACTAAAATATTAATTCGTAGTAACATAAATATAAACTAGAGAACAATATGTTGGTCTTTTATTAGATTCAAAGACCAACGACCCTTCACAAGATGAAAAGTTTATAGATTATATATCTATATATAAATATATTTCGTGTTGCAATAAATGCATCTGCTGTCCCCGACAAAGGTCACTTATAGCGCTTGTAAGGCTCAATCACATCATGGGTAAGCAAGCGGATGATACCTGGTTCCATTCCATGACATGCCTTCCCCTTTCCTAGACGAGCAAAGCAGACATTCTCCGATACTGAGGATATCACATTCCCACTAAAATACTCACCCTCGACAAGCAGAAAGTAGTCCATGGCGAGAGAGCACAACCCATACTCACAGTCCTCAAAATGGGGATAGTAATCTTTGTCATACAAACGCGCGCCTTTCATCGCCAAATGCCGGATTGTAACTTTGTCTTGGTGGTCGTGCGCCACAAAGAGTGGGAAAGAAAACAACTTCAGACCCAGTGAGGTGTGCAGCGCATCAAGGTACGATATGCTGATGACGCACTGAGCAAGCGGTAGCTTTTCCCGTTGGGGCGACAGGTGTGTATATTCCCGAAAGTCAGGCATCTTCTCTCTTAAGCCTTTTTTACAGCTCGACTCGCGGTGTCGCTTGTGTATGCCAATATATTGCTTTCCTGAAGAGAAATAATAGTTAAGAAATTCATCCACCTTTTTCCGCACAAATGGGGAGGGTTGCAAAAGACTGTAAATAGCCGCATGATGGACAAGCCCATGATGAAGTAAAAAGGCATACTGACCACCAATCACCATCACATCGGCTTGTTCTTGACTATAAACCAAGACGGCTTGTTTCATAACAGTCTTTCGAGCTTCCCATGAAACATATGGTGGCAGGCCTGAGTGTTGCTCCAAAAATTGCATACGTTGAAACAAAGGACCTAATGGTGCGTGCCGTATACACCAACCGTAACAAGTATACGTGAGATTTTCCAAAAAAGGTGAATCAAGCAATTTCTGCTCTAACACCTTATCTGAAATCACACAGTATCGTTGTGCAATTTTTGAAAAGTCATAAATTTTTGCAGGATCCACCCAGTGGCCTTTAACCCAAAATCCCCCCAAAACAGCAGTACGATTTAAACGTTCTGCCCACAATATAGTATTCATATATTCTTCCATTTGATTGTGATGGCGACCGTACTCATTTGCCTTAGCAATGATGTATCTTTCTGGACACACACGGTATGGGCCGCTGGCGTTATAGGAGACAAACGCCTCATGTCGGTTGGAGACGTCTTGAAGCTCCTCCCCCGTGAGCTCTAGTGTGTCAAGCTCGGCAAGAAAAGGATAGGGCGTGATTAAATCCGACGTATTAGGCTGTACGCTATTGGGAAGGTCTGCAGTAGTGGGAAGGTTTGCAGTATTGGGAAGGATTGCAGTATTGGGAGGGATTGCAGAAGGGTTCCCATAATTCCAACCATTGTTGGAGTATCTCCAATTAGCCCAAAAAAGTAAAATTATGAAAAAAATGAGCAGGGTGTGGAGAACAAAAAAAAGTCTGCGATACGCGTTCGCCATGTCAAACCGCAAGATATAAGAGATGCCTACCTTGGTGTGGAGACTAAAGAAGTAAAAAAAAAAAAGAATAAAAAAAGTGAACAATTTGCGCTTCCAATATAAATTAATTCAAAGGATTTGAAAACCATTTCGGCATCGTTATAGATTTCTTCAGAGAAGTTGAACGGCATTCTGTAAGACCAATCTTACAGGTTCTCCAAAAAAGAGCAGTGTCAAACAAACAATAACACCAATAACCCAGAGCAATATGAATTTCGCATGCCTGCGTTTGTTTGTTTGTTTGTGTGTGTGTTTTCATGCTAACTTCGCGAATAACAAATGATCTAGAAAGACACATAAACACACACAAACAAAAAAAAAAAAAGAGTTTGCTCTTTTATCATTTTTTAATGATGATTTGAGTGATAACCTACTAGTTTTCACTCTGACTCTCACATTTTCACATGTTGGTCCTCTCAACTGCCGAAGTGTCGTTAGATCACATTTCTGAAATATCTACTTCCTTTGTATCTTTTTACTCTCACCTTCTGGTAATCATTGGGAATTACTACTGCTCTCACTTTCAAAGTCATCCTCATAGGCATTATCCCATTCCTCAGCATCATTTTTCTGAGGATAAAGTTGTTGTTGTTGTTGTTGTTTCTGGTGTGATATATTATCCAATGGGGTACTCCCCGTCAGAAAATTTTGTTTTTCAGTTATGCTACTATCGTTAGGTCGCTGATTTGACCCAAGTCCCACTGTCACTTCTCGCTTTTGAAGTCCAATGCCAAGAAAATCTTCGGCAGCATCCTTCCCAGTCTCCAGCCACTTCTCTAACTCTGACATGTCGTTCGGAGGAGATGATGAAACTAGAGTATGATTCCCCTTTTCACTAAATTCAAATCTATTATTATTACCCTTACCATTGTTTATTTTGGGATCAACTTTTTTTATATTCTTTATTGCATTCTCAATAAGGTCTTCACCAAAAAGTTTGGAATAGTGTGATGACTCGAGACAGCTAAGAGGAAGAGAAGAAAGATGACTCTGCACAAACGTGCTTCGTAACGCGCGGCGTAGTGTTGGACGAGTTGTAGTAGATACTTGAAGGAATGACTGTACCAATTCTACCAACTGTCTAGAATACGGAAGATCAGATGGTATTGGGTTGTACGTCCCACGCGTGATTTGCCGCGTGAGAGCTGGAACAGATGTGGCGTCAAAGGGCCGTTCCATCACCATCAACTCGTACAGTGTAACGCCTAGACTCCAGATATCAGCCTTACCATCATATGCTTTTTCCTCACACAACTCTGGTGCCATATAAAACGGAGAGCCACATACTGCCTTCGCCACACTACCGAACTGTTCAAGAATCGTTGACACACCAAAATCCCCAATGCGCAGTGTGTAATCGCTACATAGAAATAAATTCTGCGGTTTGATATCGCGATGTAATGTGTGCTGATCCACGTGTAAAAAATAGAGACCAGCAAGCATCTGTATCAGTACGGAGGCAACGAAACTCTCTGACTGGTGTGATGCACGAAACTTTGATTCTTCTTCTAGCTTGGCCAAGTCTCCACGTTCGCAATATTCCATTACAATATAGGCCATGAACTCTCCATCGTGGTAGTAATCAAGGAATTGAACAATGTTTGGATGGCCACGAGAGCGGCGAAGTATAGTTACCTCCATTTCCAGAGCCTTCATCTCATCTTCTTTCTTCATCGTCTGCATGTTAACATCCTTCACAACGACGAAGTTGCCAGGATTATTAACTTCTTCATATAGCGTCGCACACCCAAAGTTTCCCTTACCCAAAATGCGATGTCGCCGCAGAACCCACGTCTTGAACTCTCCGGGTATTTCCAGAAGATCGCTCATTCGTGCAAAAATATAACTATCTATGAGTAAAGACGGTGAGAAAAAAAAAAGAATGGAAACTATATATGTACCTGTCACGCCATGTAAAAAAAAAAAGAGAAAAAAAGAGACAAATAAAGCATTAAGAGAAAAACATTGAAATATAATATAATACAATATATATATGTATATATATATTATATTATAGAAGGGAAAAAATAGTTTAAAAAATATATACAATTGTAACAATTGTGGAAGTTCTACCCCTCCCAAATGAAAGGAGAAGAAGTTGATGGAGAGGTACAATAGAAGCAGTAGCAACAATAGTCACTGGTTCGCTTTTTTTTGTTGTTGTTGAAGAGGAGGTCATCCCACTCACATCAGATGTGATATGTATGAGGGGAATAAAAAGAGACACCGAGAATGCACACATGAGGTCCTTTTCACGCACATGTGAAATAAGTATGGAAAATCCATAGAAGAAGATGCATAACACTTGACTATTGATGTTGTCAATATTTCTTTTCTTTTTCTTTTTTTTTCTTTTTTTTTGGTTCTATTCTGTAACATATTTTATTAACAACACCTCCCTTGACCAGCATTCTCCGCTGTGTTTCGATTCACTTCCTGCGAACGTGACGGTGTAAGAAGAAATGGGTCCCGTTGTTTTCCCATTGCCACACCACCAGTGTGGTTACTGTTGGAAACGTCGCCCTTGGTCTCGTCCAGCACCGGCAGTGCGAGTGCCATGCGCCTAAAGAGCGCCTTCACATTTGTCCCCTGCCTCGCACTCACCTCCATGAACATAAGATTATACTCCTCCGCCTTCTTCTGAGCTTCCTCCGTGCTTACCTCGCGCTTGTCCTGCGCATCGCACTTGTTGCCAACGAGTACGATAACAACGTCATCCCCGCGCTCTGCACGAACCTCGTCAATCCATTTAAAAGTACTAAGGAAGGATGGACGGGAGGTGATGTCGTACACAACGAGAGTACCAGAACTATTACGAATGTAGCTTGGAATGAGTGAGCGAAAACGTTCTTGTCCAGCAGTGTCCCAAACATGTAATCGAACGGTGCGATTGTCAACATGCATTGTTTTAGAGAAAAAGTCAATTCCTATTGTTGCCTGATATTGCTGATCGAAGGTATCGTACATGAAACGAGTAACAAGGCTTGTCTTGCCTACAGACTGGTCACCTAATAGTACAATCTTGTGCTTCACCACTGTAGAGGTACTACCACCCGCCTTCTCGGGTGATTTCTTCTCCATATCCCCTTTACTATTTCTTTTTTTTTTTTCTTTGACTAGTGGATATACTCACGAATCACTTACAGAGACTCACTCTATATATGTGTAGTCTTATATAAATGTGAATTAATACAGCCAAATCACAATCTCAATTGTTAATTCACCAAGAGAAATAGAAATATATATATCCTCCCAAGTGTTTGTGTTTGTGTATTTCTTCTGCCTTGATATGACTGTGTGTATGCTCCGTTTTGCTTCGTTGAATTATTTTTGTTTAAGGATCACCTTAACTTTCTTCACTCTGTACTCTATAGGTATCAGCACTCAAATGATTAGATAATACGGATCACAGTAAAATACTGTCTTTTTTTTTTTTTCTCTCTCTCTCAATCACGTTCAAAAAGTGCAACAAATGCAGATCCACACTCCTTTTTGACTGGTATCTATGTGGTCTTCTTTTAAAGCCGTCGATATCTTTCGTTTAGATGCTGTCAATCTGATACAAATAATAAACAGAAAAAAAAAAGGAGAAAAGGCCAAGAAAGGACTACCGAAGCAGGGGTTAACAGAATCCATTAAGCTCAAAAAGAGGGATGTCAAAAAACAAAAAAAAAAAAAATAGTTTTATTTATATCGGGTCCATACTGCAACAGAATGTGAAACAAAGAGAGAAAGAGAGAGAGAGAGAAAGAGAATACAGACGCTTGAAAGCAGAACACCACAAACGTACAGATTGTAAAATGCCAAACCAAAGGCCTAATCACTGATGTTTCTGTACCATATCCTGTCTCTGCCATCGCTCTACATTCTGACGAAAGTCTACGACAAATTCATCAAAGTCGTGTCGACGTGTGTCCTTTTTTGACATTACACTTTCGTACATGTGCGTTTTGCAAGCAAAAGTCTCAATGATGCTTCCCAATATGAAGCCGACAAGAAAGAGACCAGACATTCGCACAGGGTATGGGAAGGTGCGGTACTTCTGCAGAAAACGTCTACTTGCGGTGCCACCGCGTAGAAATGGATCATTCTTCTGCCGCGTAGCTCGCGCAAAGACATCATCGCCATACGCCATCTCCTCAAGTTACGTACAACCCTATGCTGCTATCAATGTATCACAGGCAAAAAGGGAGAGGAATAATAATAAAAAAAAAAAACCAGGCAGCAATGGAGTACAAAAAAAAAAAAAGGTCCCACACATACAAAGAGAGAAGGACACCATGAGACACGATCATCATAACTCCAGACTAAGGGATTTGGAGGATTAGAATTTAAACATCAATAAAAAGAGAAAAAGGCATAGTTCAATGAAATAGTTTCCAAAGCGAGGAAAAAGCAAAATAAAAGAAAAAACAACAACACATATTAGGAGTCAAAGATGATATGCAAAGATGATACATTCCCCCGGTACAGGGATGGGGTATTCGAGCCTAAGCATTTTTTTTTTTTTGTTTTTGCTTCTTCCCCTAGCTGTTGTCACGATTTCTTTTCTTTTTTTTTTTTTCTTTCCTTATTCTCTTCTCCTTACTCATATTCTTCATTCTACTGGTTTTTTTGTAGAAAAACAAAAAAAACTAAAACAAGAAAAAAAAACTAAAATAAAAAAGAAGGCGAAGAAAATGCTAATCTGTATAGATATATATATATTACATGTATTGTTCCATATGCTCGTATAGGTTTGCGCGACACCGTTCAACAAGCACATCGAAAACAGCATCTGGTTTAAATGATGCACAAGACTTGTAGGAAAACACAGCGACATCAAACTCATTTAGAGATCCATGATCATTGGCTTCGATCAATTGTCGCATAAGTTTGTGCTCCTTTCCTTGCTGCATATTCCGATCCTCTTCCTGTAGTACATCAAATCGCTTCCGTGTGACGTAAAGTGCCTCGAAGTACCGATCATCACTGCCGAAGCCATCTGCGAGTAAACAGAGAAGTGAGTACAGGTACTGCGTGGTTCTGGGAAGGTTGCGAGGCACCATAGCCGCCTCTTCAATGAAAAGCTGTGACGCTTCCGCATATTTACCCAATTTCACTGTCAGCGCTGTGATGCGTTCCATACAATTGCGCGAGAAAGACTTTGTAAGAGGACGGCTTCCATAGAGTTGTATTGCCTCCCTGTACTGTTGAATCGCCTTTTCAGGTTCTTCCAGATGTTGATCCAGTATCAGAGCGGTATCACGTTTGCAGCGCGCCGCCTGAAGAGTGAGGCCTGCTGCTACAAATGCTTCTGCGAGGGTGTGCAACACATTAACTGTCAACAGAGGATCCACTACTTGAAGGTTCTCTGCTGCAAGTGAGAGTGCTGTGATGGTTTCCTCCTCGTTCTTAAAGGCGCGCGTGATGACGCTGGCATGAAGGAATGCCCGCGCGGCCGCTTCTGCGTGTCCATGTACGGCAAAGAGTGCGCCTGCCTCCGCAAAGTCATCTCGGGCGGCGAGCCAATCACCGCATTTTGCAAGTCCTTTCGCAACGGCAGCTTCTGCGCGGTGGAGGGCGCGGGCGGCGTCGCCCAACTCGTCAACGCGCGGTGGGCCCGTCGGGTGGGTGGCTTCCCACGCGCCGTCGGTGGTGGTGGCGACGAGCGGCGGGGTGGATGGGGTGTACGGGACGTAGTTGTAACTCTTCGGAGAGAGCTCGACGGCGAGGGCCTCGCCGTTGCTCGAGGGAGTTGCGGAGATTGGCTCCTCCGGCTGCTCCGCGTGGGCCATCATGCGGGCTGGGGTGTGAAGGGCAATTCCTCCGCAAACGAACGACAGGACGTGGGGAGTGGAGAGAAAGAAGAAAGAGGGAAATGAAAAAATAATAGGAAGCAATACAAAGATGTATAGACACATGCAAAGAGAGAGAGAAAAAAAAAGAGAAAGAGAAAGAGGAAAAGAAAGTAAGAAAGAAGTATTAGAGATCCACTGAATGCCGTGTAGATTGGAAATTTAATTCTCATCCTTGTCTTCAGTTCTCCACTCTCGTTATCACGTTGCGTATTAATTGAAACTAAATCACACATTCTCATAATCATCATCATAATCATCTATTACCTTTCTTCTCTCTCATAAACGGAGAGACAGATAGACACACGCCCAGACACATATTCACACAACACAACACACACACACACTGGTGAGAAAACGAACGTCATTACGCCTCAATTCTCGTATTCATTGATTATCAGTATCTTATATATATATGAAAGAGACAGAGAGAGCGTACATCTTTTTTTTTTTTTTTTCTTTTCCTCCTTTGGCTCATGTCATCCTTAGTCTCACTGTGCATCATGTCTGCTAGTAGAAAAAACAAGAGCATAAAAGTTCTTTATTAATTATTCTAAGGGCACACCACAATTCTGCATAAACGTAAAAATGGTTACTGCCGCACGTGCCGCCAGCGCAGCCATAGCGGCGAAGTCCTTTGCTGAAACACTTTTAACATGCTTGGATCGGTGTGGGTACAAATGCATATTACTTGCCAGTACTCCACCACCACCACCATTTGGGTTGGAGAGAATAAATGTCGTGGTTGCCACACTTCGCACCTCATCTGTTGCCTCCTCCGCCATTGTAGGGTCAAGTAACAGCAAAGATGCCGACGATGATGCTTCTGATAAAGAAGCTCCGGATGACGTTAACGGTAACAGCGCTTCATTATCATGTGGTGCACAAACGGCAACACTCACCGCGGCAATTGTGGTGCGGCACGGCACACCGGCATCCAATAATGCACACATCACTGCATTTGTCGCAACGGCAAGTAGTGAGCCGTCATCGCCCAACACGGTAACGTGTATCTCAAGTACACATCTGGGGAATCGCTCCAGTAACACCACCGCCTCCACAAAAGTTGTGAGAAGCCGCTCCGTCTCTCCATCCGTCCGACGCTGCTCCTCACGTTCTTGTTCCAAACAGAGTCGATCCGTACCGCCGGCCTGTGGCACACGTGCGGCGCGTGTAACGTTCACACGCACATGACACTTGCGGTAATCCTCCTGACGTGCCGCCACAGGGCCGTTAACGGAAGCCGCCACAGTAGTGAGGCCTTGTGCATACCACGCAGAACCGTCAAATTGATTAAAGACGGATGTCTGCAATTCTTTGCCACGCATTTCACGCTCTCCACGACCATCTCGACGAACCAAAGTTGTCGACATCTTTTATTTGACCTTACAAACTTATTTCTCTTGTTATTGTTTTTTCTGTCTTGTTTTTTTTTTTTTAATCTATTTGTTTTTTTTTTCTTTTTTTTGCTACTTGTATGTATGTACGTATATATAAATATATATATACCTGTGTGTGTGTGTCTGCTTGTTTTTCAAATACCCAAAAATAAGAAGAGAAAAAAAATATTTTTTTTTTCCTTTTTTTTTTCCACACCAAGAAAGAAACTCTTCACAGAAAGAGGACCACAAAGAACATAATACTTCATATTAAATATATCTTATTGGACTTCCAATACACGCTAGAAAGAAAGCCAAACGCAGATTCCCTGTAAAAACGAAAAAAAAAAAATGATACATAAACTTGTGTCCTACACTCTACACTACGCTCTTTTACTGTAACCGTTACACTCGTACATCCTCCTCTACAAATTCATTTAGATACTCCTCCAAGGATGTGGTTGCCTTTTCTATTTTTCCATCGGATGGATCAAATTGAGCCCGACCAGTAGCAATGCAGTTAGACATCTCTACGAGACTTTGGACCCGACGTGGGGGATACCCAGCAGCTTCAAGTATAGATCGCCATTCAGACTCTGAAAGGATATGCAGATGAATATATTTTCCTGTAATTTCTTGAAGAATTCGTGCCACATCACCAACGCTGTACAGTGTTGGAAAAGCGAACTGAATTACTGTTTTTTTCGACATATTAGAATTACCATGTGCATCCGAAACTGGATAAAAAGGTTGTACGAGAGCCTTACCGACACGCTTCCCAACATCTTGTGGTGCCTGACAAGGAAATCGCGCATCCTCCGGCATTTGTGTCGTCATAACACCGGTTGACAGTGCCTCACTTAATTCTGTACGAAAATTACTGAAAAAGTACCCAGGACGTATGCAAATAACCTCTACACACCTATCAGATGCGGCATCTGTAATAACATCTTCTAGTTCCCCAGAAACGGATAAATCACCAGCGTCTTCCAAGAGTTGTGCACCAATTGTTGATAGGCATACAATTCGGTCAAGGCTTCCCTTCTTTACCGCTGCTCGCACAGCCGAAGCGTAGTACTGAATTGTGACTCGAATTTTGTCAAGCCATTCATTATCGAAAAAGTCATCGGGGGTAATAAGAAACACAGATTTAACGCCTCCAGAAAATGCACGTCGAATATCTTCTTCACTGTTTAGATCACACGTCACCACCTCCAGTCGAGTTTTGCTGTTGATGGTCATTGTCTTATTCTGAAGTGACTCTGGTCGACGAGTGGTCAGACGAACAATGTCGTAATGACCATATTCCAATACATATGCAGCGGCAGCGCTTCCTACATGACCGGTGGCACAAAAAATAAGACAAATTGAACCCATATACTCCCTTTTTCTTTATTTTTCCCTATTTCTGATAAAAATAAGAGCTATTAGTTGAAGAAGTACATTAAGGAAGGTAAAAAAGAAAAAAAAAGATAGAGAGAGAGAATAACAAGAAAAAAAAAATAGCAAAACAAAAAAAAGAAAACAAGCATAAAGGAGAATATGAGAGAAAAAAGAAAGAAAGAGATAACCGATAAAACAGAAAAACACAAATAAGCAGGAAAACAAGTTTCTGTATAGTTGACATGAATGAATGAAGCAGAATACTTCTTCAATCTCCCACCAAAGCATACTAGAGAATAGAATAAAGCGAGTGAGGCAAAAAAAGAAAAAAAAAATCAACAGCATGAATCCACCACTCAACCTATCGTCCCATCTTTGTACGTGCTGTTATCCATCAAATAGTATTTTATCTGTAAATCATTAAGTAGAACTTGTTATCTGTTTCTCTTCTTATCTCTTACCCCTTTTTCATTCATTTTTTTTTTCCCCCCTTCCTTCTTTCTTTCTGGATACAGTTTTTTTTTTTTTTTTTTTAAATACCGATTGCTTTGTTTTACGTTTCGTCCTCTTTTGCTCATTTCCTCCCTCGTCTTCCATGTCGTTATTCATGCTGAGAAAAACATTTCCAGTAACCCTCATGCGTTCGTTGAACCTGCTTTATAAGTTCTTCCGTCTGGCACCATAACATACCACTGCGCGGTAACGCCACTGTACCACTGCACTCAAGTAATGCCCGCATAACCGCCTCAGAACAGCGGGCAACATTAGATAGATGATAGCCGCCCTCAAGTACCACCACCAGACGTGGACAAAGGGCAGCAACTGCCTTTGTGAGCAAATAATAACCAGAGGCTGACATGCGCATCGCACCAAGCAAATCACCACAGGCGCTATCAAAACCGCAGCTAATAAAGACGATATCTGGCGAAAACTCACGAATTACCGGTGCAACTACACCTAAAAGTACTTGAATATACTCCAAATCCCCCATTCCTGCAACAGGCCATGGTATATTAATATTTTTTCCACGTGCAGCCTCTATTTCTTCACCACCAACACGCTCAATATGTCCTGTTCCAGGGTAAAATGCCTCATGTGTATCGCCATTCACATCTTCTTCAAAGGAAAAACCTTCGGTGTCACCAGGGAGTCTCCCTGCTACCACCCTAGTGGAAGATGAGGTTGGTAATGAACCATTGCTTTTACTTATACTGCTATCAGAGGAGGATGAAGACATATCATTCTGCCTATCATCTAACGTAATACCAAAAAGTCTTGCAATGGCTTCATCATCTTCCCCTATATCAGCTGCAAGTTTTTCATAATCCACAGGTTTTCTCAAACGTTTCTCTTCTACTTTTCTTTCTGGTGGTGGAATGAGGTCATTTTTTTTATCATTTTCTTTTTTTCGTTTGCCTGTTGGTGAGATACTATCTTTTTTACTGCCATCATCACCGCCACATTCTCTACCATCGCTTGTACTAACATTGCTATTCGGTTCCTCTGCAGTTGTTTGTTCCATAAGTGCCGCTAATGAGTTTACATCAATGGTATCCGTAAAAACAGAGGGGGTTTTCCGCAAGACATGCCCACGACCGGACCCATATTGATGAATTGATACAACCACAACTGATGGATCCTCGTAAAAAATACTCTCTGTTCCATCACAGTGATGTACATCCCAGTCCAATACTAAAGCCTTTGGTGCGGATGTTCCTCGTTGACGAAGTTCCTGCTGCGCCACTCGAACAGCTACAGCAACATTGTTGAAAAAACAAAAACCCGATGCGGAGTTTGCACTAGCGTGATGTCCAGGTGGACGAACCAACGCAAACGCATTTCGAACTTCACCCCGTACAACACTCAGTGCTGCTGAAACAGCACATCCTGCTGCCATACGGGCTGCCTTAGAAGTACTGATGTTAGCATATAGATCTTGACCGATGCTTGACGTACTCCCAGGTTTACGAAGAGAGACTGCAAACTCCAACTGGTCAACGCTATCAATGTGGTCAATAGAATGAACCAAGCGTAGCTCCTTGGTACGTGCAATGTGACGTGGAATACGACGACAACATGCCATCAGACCAATCGCACGTAAATGATCTAAAGTACGTTTAAGACGACCAGGACGTTCGTAGTCTTCTGGATCCGTGGACTCATGCTGTAGCATCACATCATCATACACCACACCTGTTCCTTCTGCATAAGGTATCAAAGTAGGCTCTTCTGCCTTTTTATTTACCGTAACAGCAATAGAATGCGTCACATTTATACCATTATTATTCAGAAAAGGATCTTTATGTGTAGAAGACGTTGTTAGTGGCATCATCAAATCCAGAATAGTAGGAATTGGTTCTGCAAAAGGAAGTGATGTTGGTGGTGGTCGTCGTGCCCCACTTGTCTCAGACATCCATTGCTGAACGTATGCTTCAAAACGTTTTTTACTGACTGCAGCAATAGAATCATCCGGCACATGTGCAGTGGACGTTACTCCGTTTTGGTGTTCCACTTTGGCCTTTTTATTCTTCTTACTATTAACTGCATCTGCTGTGGCTCCAAGACGCTTTGGCATCCTTCCCCCAAAAGATTGAGAGAGATCACCTAACAAACTAAATTATTTGACAAACACAAACACAAACACAGACACACACACACCAAAACAAAAAAAAAACTCTCTCAAGTGAAACCAGCAGAGGACAAATAGAATCACGAATAATATCAGGGAAGCAATGTATTATAAAAATAAATAAATAAATAAATAAATAAATAAACCAAAACAAAAGCGAAGTTTAAAATAAAAATAGTTAACGAAAAAAAACCAACATTGACGAGATTGAGACATGTCAGGGTCAAATAAATAAATAAAAAAAAAACATCATGTAAGACGCTCGCAGTATTGACAAGTGTTTTTATATGGGGAAAAAAATAAACATATATCATTACCATCATCACACTATTGACAAAAGGATTTTAGCATATTATTTTTCTAAGTTTAGTGTTTCCGTTGTCCCACCAGCAGTAGATACCAGAGACTATCACTAGAAGAACATATACATAACAAATTGAATCCTCTTGGTTTTGTTATAGTTGACATGTACAATTTTTTTTAAAAAAAAAAAAGAAAAAAAGAATTTGCAGTAGGGCTAATATTTTCTCTTTTTTTCTTTTTCTTTTCCTTTGCTTCATAATGCTCATACCTTCCATATACAGATCCTCCTGCCTTTCTCTTAGCTGTCGTTTGTATGCCATCAAGACGGACTGGTTCGGAAAGTAAAGAGTAAACCAAAAAATAAAATAAATAAATAAATAAATAATAAACGATTGCCTACGAACAGATGTGAATTATTTTTTTTTTTTTTTTATGCGTACACACACACATACACACACTCACTCACTGATATGAAAAAAAAAGAAAAAAGTGTGTTTGTTTGTACTTGGGAAATCTCTTTCTGTAGATCCTTTTCTGGTAATTTTCTTGTTTCAAACTGCCAAGCATATATTGACAAAGGTAATGAAAATTAAATATTGTCAAAAGAATTCATGTCCCTACTCTTAATTTGATCTCTATCACAATTCTCCCTTTCTCTTTCTCTTTCTCTGTGTATGTGTACATGTAAGATAGAGAAAGAGAAAGAGAGGAAACAGGTGATATCTACTACATTTATGTCCTTCTCAGAGTTGCATCAACGCATATATCATTAAAGCGACCATTCCCAGTACAATGGCTCCCATTTTCATTTGTGCCATGATGAATTGATTAACTGCGTCTTGTGGGTTATCATGCTTCGACTCTTTCTCATTTAAACTCTTATCGTTACTTTTAGATTGTGCATTTCTCACGACCACGCGATCTTCAGGGTGCAGATCGGCCACATAGTATTTCTCCATCATGCGATGTGCGCTTTTGCTGTGATTAACATCTGCAAATGCCTGTGAGGCGTCTGTGCCTGCATTGCAGAGCAGTACATCACGACCTCCTGGATGCATGTCGAGAAACGGTGAGAGATCGTAGACTTTATTTGCAATAACAACCCAACAGCTGTTCTTGTCAGTGGCGGTGGCTTGTTTGGCCTTCACATCGGCAAGACGCATCTGGCGGGATCCTGCGATTTTTCCAACTTGCAGCGACGAGAAAAGTCGACGGGCTGACTTGCTGTGATTTACATCTGCAAATGCCTGCGATGCGTCTGTGCCGAGTAGTGCGGTGAGGACATCACGGCCGCCGGGGTGATCATCGAGGAATGAAGACACATTCAGTACGTCGCCGTCAATGATAATCCAGCCATCCGCCACAGTGGTGTGTTTGGCCACCTCATCTGCCGTGTAGACCTTCGTAGATGTCATTTCACGGATATATATGTATATATAGGGAAGAATGAGTGCTAGTAATGGTTGAGAATCTTTGTTTTTTTTTTTTTTTTTTGAAACTCTTGATAGTGTTTCACAACACCTTCTGTGTTGTGCATAATAAGTGAGATGGCAAGAATGGAAAATAATAAAAAAAAAAAAACAGTTTGGGGTTTGGCAGAAGAATCAGAGATAGTAGAATCAAAACCCAAAAACAGAAACACAGACAGACTTTTTTTTTTTTTTCTCCTTCTCAGATGTAAACACACCACCACAGAGTTACCAATAAAAGAGATCATCCGTTGTTACTATTATTTTCTTCTTCGTTTCTTTCCACCACACACACACACACACACCTCTAAACTCTCTCTTTCTTTCTCTCTCTTCTATTGTTTTCTGTATGATTTCGCAAAATAGAGACTACGGACTCAATGCGGTCCCATCAGCCGGCAATAATTCCTCACGGATGAGTTCGAGGACGTGCTGAAAGACGGCAGCACCAAAGCGCATCGTTACATCAAAACTGCATCCCGCCGGTGTGCCCAAAAGTTCCATCTTCTCACCCGTTAAACCGCAAGCAACGTAAACGGTAACGGCCGTACCGCACATTTTCTGCAAACGCCGTGCGAGGCGCTGCGCGAGACTCTGTGCAAACACCGTCTGCGGGTTTGGGGCCCCGTAGCCGGATTCCTGCTGCTGTTGTTGTTGAGACTGCAGTGGGAGCGGCACGTCATCTATGATTGCGGTGGATGTCACGTCTGCAGAGATGCCGGCAATCGCCACAGCGCAGGGGCCAAACACCGGCGGCGGGGCATCACTACTCACACGCGTCTCTGAGAGATGAACCCAAAAACTACGCGCGCCAAACGACAACACCTGCGCCGTAATCTCCACCACCGGCACAGTTCTCTCAGCACTCACAGTCTCCTCATCTGCAGGACTATACTTCTTGTTGCTATGGTCTTCGTCCATAATGTCGTCAAGCACATAGTCAGGTGGAAGTTCATGCTTAAACACAAACTTCCTCACAGCTACTACAGGAGGTGGCATTCTAAATAAGAGAGTGAGAGAATTAAACGTCTGCTCTCTCTCTCTCTCTCTCTCTCTCTATCCGCTTTTTTTGTTTTGTTTTCTTCTTTTGTGCACTCTCTATTACTGTCAACTTATACTCCTTTAGCAAAGCGAATAACGTATTCGCGTGAAAAAGAGGAAAAAAGAATTAGAAAATAAAATAAATAAAAATATCCACACAGACAAAGATGTGTATACAAGTAGAGTGAGAGAACCAGAAACAAAACAACAACAAAAAAAAAATAAAAAAAAATAAAAAACAGAAAAGAAGGGGGAAAAAATAATCCAATAAAATACACATTATCAGTAATGCATAAACTCATCAACTCTACTCACATTGAACAAAAAAAAATATACAACGTTTCTTTTCTACTTTCATTATATTCTTTATCCTTACGGTATATCACAACCCCTCTTCTTCTTCTTCCTCTTCCTCATCTGAATCAATGGAAAAAGCCTCAGCTGCATTAACCTTGTTATCGCCTTTATTTCCCCCACCGCTGCTGTTCGTTGTCACTACAGTCGAAATAGTGCTACTCTCAGTCCGGCCAAGAAGATCCTGCAAAAGGGATTGTGCGTTACCACGCGTACCTCCTAATCCCGCAAAAAGACCGTCTGTTGAAAGCAATAATGTCTGTTGTAGTAGTTTGCCCCGTGCAATCTTTTCGAGTTCTTTGCTAATAACAGTAAAGAATAACTGTTGTAGGCGACGATCAATGGATAAAACACGCTTCGCACTCTCCTCACTATTTGTCATATCATAGTCGCTGAAACGTTTGTATGCTAATATAAGATGCGAACAGAGAGGAATAAACAAATCTTCATATCGTACATCCGTCGCCTTCATGTACGCGAGATGCTCAAGATTTAAATAGTAATATTTTACTTGATTTTCCGCATCCCATACTCCATGTAGAAACGCACCACTGCTACTATTATTATTACTACTACTACTACCACCGCCACCACCGGCAAAAGAAACAGACGAGGTACTGCTAGCATTGCCGCTATTATTAGCACCAAGAGAAGACAAAGATTCTACAAGATGCATTTGTTGTTGTTGCTGACGATAATTACGAAGGTTAAGCTGGGCAATAGCCTTTGCTGCTGTACCACCTGCAAATCGCACATCCATTTCTAATAAGAGTGCATACAAACACTCAATAAATTTTCTTCTCGAAAGTTCTACTCGTAATATATCGGCAAGTGAAAGTGCAAGACACAAGTAACATGGTATATGTGCAGATAACCAAGAAGAACCAACTGTTTGCGGTAAACCAGGAATAGACTTCACTTTTACCATAATATCCTCTGTGTTTACTTCTTCTTTAGTCAATAACGCTTCCTCTGTTACTGGTGGAGCTGTTGGCAGGCGATAGACCACAGAATTATTTTCCCCGCGATGGCCGCCGCTGTTATTATTACCACTGAAGTACTTCACAACATCCTGCCGTGTTAGGCGAACAGTACCCATCCACAGCACCTCGTCTCGGTGTAATTCACTCAAGTACTCTAGAAATCGCACACGCTTCTCTACAAGTAGTTCAATAAGGGCAACACGGACAGCATCATTCTTCACTTTAAAACCTTTTCGCATTCTGCAAAAAACCACAAAACCTTCGTTTTCCTTCTTTCCGCCTAAAAACAAAATAATAATAAATAACAAAACAGAGTTGCAGAGGTACTGTGAGAAACCGGTATAAATGGATACAGTCACACACACCCTACTATACTCAGTTTCTGTAGGAAGAGTGTATTTTCCTGCTAAGAATATCAAAAGAAATAAAAAAAAGGAAAAGGAAAAAAAAATCTTTAAAAGCAACACGAACAAGAACACCGCGGCAAAAAAAAAAAAAAAATAGGGAATATTTGAAACTCACCAAAGAAATAAAAAAATAAAAAGAAAAATTATTTCTAACGGCCATTAAACGGTTTAAGTAACACAGAAACACATACACAAGAAGGAAATAAATTTTTCTTAAAAAAAAAAATGTGCGTAAAACTCACTGTAAATGTATTCCACCAGTGTTGAGAGAGTTTAAAAAAAAGAAGAAGAAAAAGGGATTTTCCTTTTTTTTTTTTAAAAGAAATCCATATATTCGTCCTCCCTCATCGAACAGAGACAAACCACTGAAGAACGGTTGGCTCTTCATCCACCACGGGCTCTGTTACTATTGCTTTATCCTCTCCTTCTGCTTTTACAGATGCAGCGGAAAGTGGCACCGTTCGCAGCAGCAATTCCACTTGTCGCTCAAAAACACCGCGAACGACAGGCTGAAAGAGAAATGATTCTGCAAGCCATAGTGTTAGCCATTTCCCCACTACTGTACTACTAATGCTTCGATGACAAATATTATCGTAGCTATCGCTCATTAAAGAATCAATTTCTGATGTATGAATGGATTTTATCCATTGAGCTTCTGTCTCTGTATGTAATGCCTTCTGCAATTGCAACTCACCAAGTGCATCTGTAACGTACAACAACGGTTCGTAGTTATTCATAGAATCTAGACTGAAAAAGAAACGATTCATAGAAGGAGACTCCATAACTGCGGTCGTGTTATCTGTATCCCTCATACTGGTATCTTCAAGGGAACAAAGACGCACATAATCGCTAAAGCCTAATACAACCATATTTCCATCATTTCCAGCAGCACGTAGTGCATTAAACGTTTCTTGCGCTTTTTTTCTACATTCTGATGGACTTCGTTTCGTCACATCGGTTAAACCTAAAGTAGCACAAGAGAGAGTCTTTACAGGTATCTCCGTAGTGTTTTCACGTTTGATACGACTCTGGAGTTCTGCAACTGGCAGATGAAATCGCGGCGTACGTTCTTCAGAAGCGCGGTGCCGTAGCCAACCAATGGAGAAGTCAAAGAGGATACTATCAATACAGGAGATGAGTGATGAGAAATTTTCTCTACGATTTTCTTTTGTAATTTCTGCCGTTTTGGTTTCTTCCTTTTCTTCACCTCTTACCGTTTCAATGTCTATGAATTGCTGTCGAATACGTTGCAAGAGCTGCAGAGTTGTGTATGCGGCTGTTGTAACGCCTTTCTTATACAACTCTTCACGCCATGATTCCAAAATACCTTGAGTATGTTTACTCCAATACGGGTCCGATTTTATTTTATCCAATACTTTATATTCTTCTTCTTCTTTTTCTTGTTGTTGTTGTAGGAGTCTGTGAAGATCACTGTGAAGTACAAGGAGACGGAGAAAAAAAGTCCGTTGTGGCTCTACTTCATGCCGTGCATCAATGAGATCGAGTACAGTGTACACGGCCTCGGAGATGGTTTCATGGCGATGTGTTTGTTGTTGTTGTTGTAGGAGTAACTTCACAGCGAGAAGATGCGCTGCGGAAGAGACAATTGCCCGACGACGCATACTAATAAAACTGATATATCGTTCCAAATCATTTAATGCATCTTTTTCTGCTAAAAGTACCGCAATCATGTTTGTTGGCACCTCCGCACGACTAACATTGGGAGCCGACAATTGATTATAAAGCAGCAATGCGCTGCTACCATCACGTGCGGCACTTGCCACCTGTAGAAGTGCTTCTATCACTTTGGGAGAAATAGAAACATCCGCATGTGATGAGAGTTGAATTGCACGGAAGAATGACTGCGCCGCCTCCATCCTCGCGCGGGATTCCAGCGTTACTCGTGAGAGAGCATGCAGAAGCGCACAAAATGCCTCTCGAGATACTTCACGAGTGGTGGTATAATAACCCACATCGGTTGTTGTAAATAGATGTAATACAATATCTCGCACATATGTAAAATGTGCCGCATTAGCGTCTATACAATCGGCGAGATGAATGAGTACTTTTAACTTCTCAGCAGCAAAGTCGGCCGCTTCCACAGCTGGATTGTCACTCCGGCTTTCCATGTTGACTACACGACTACTCGATGACGTCAAGGCAACAAATCTTTCCCATAAAATAACGGCATTTGCAAAATCTCGGTTAAGGCGAAACGCAGATATAGCAAAAGCAAAATTCTGGGCTAAAGAAAGATATTTCGCATTTCCATTTACACCACTACTACTACCATTATTATTATTATTATTATTATTATTATTATTATTCGCGTAAAAAGTGAGTAGTCTTTCAAGCGCATCAACAGCGATGGCACCATTTTGTACGGCTGCAGCAAGCTGTAATCGCTCCTGCAGTTCATCCCGCCATTGTTGTTGTTGTTGTTCACTATCTATTCTTGGTGGGCCAAGAACACTAAGAAGTTCACAGGCGCGGCGCACTTCTTCCGTCAACACCCAACGTCTTCGCGGCCGCTGAGTGGCAGTTCGCACATCTTCACAGTTGCGCCTTATCACGGCGAGTAAACGCGCAGTGGCGGCTCTGTACAATACGGCCGCAGCCGCTGGTGGTACAGACAACAGAAATGCAGTCTCAGTTGTATTTCCTTCGTTTTCTCCTTCTTTTCCTTTTCCTCCTCTTACTGCTGCGGCTGCTGCTGCCAGTACTTTCCGCAGCACGACTATAGGCGGTAGTTGACACTTCACACCCGCACTGCACGCCTCTGTGAGGTTCGCTGCCAGCGATGTGAACATCACACTCTCATTATTACTGCTGCTGCTGCTGCTCGCAGTGTTTTTGTTTGGAAGTGTCAACTGTGCGAGATCCATCACGCCGAGTTGTTCCATCAACGCCACGTTCGCCGTCAGCGGTGCGTCCAGTGGAATGGCCGCATCTACACAAACAGACTCACTGGCAGGACTACACAACGTCCTCTTCTTCTTCTCCCGCATGTCCCGCAAGAGTCGATGAAAGAGTTTATGTTGATGTTTAAGACGTGCATGGCTGTTCCCAGTCACTTCTCCGGTTGTTGTGTCTGCAGTGTTGTTGAATGTAAACAAAACACGCGAGAATTGAATGGGCGACAATATCGTCTGCACATCAACACGTGTGCATAATCGTCTCCAACACATTAATTTCACCACACCTCTTTTTCTTCTTCTTCAGAAATAGCAGCAAGTAGATTAAAAAACAAAACAAATAAATAAATAAAATAGGAAATCACAGGTGATAAGCTCTTAATGAAAGCTTGCCCAGTCCTATGTTTTCTCTTCTTCTTTTCCCCCTATTGTAGGTATTAAAGAAAAGAGCAAGAAACAAAAAAAAAAAAACGAGAGAGAAAAAACATTTTAAACAAAACAAAGAAAAAAATAATTTTTTAATGAGAGAGTAAAATAATAAAAAAATAAAAATAAAAAAACATTGCCAATATAGGGCAGTTTCGTTTCTTCTCTTATAGTGTAAAGAGAGGATTATGAAAAAAAAAAAACGTTACAAAGAGCATACGGTAAGAGAATAATAATAATAACAACGAACTTTTCAGAAAGAAAGAAGGAATATATATATATATTATATTTTCCTTTCCTCTTAATTGTATTCACTGGGATAAGTAACGAAATACAGCATTACAAAACACCGTATTATTATTGTTACTCAGGACCCCATTCAGACGTTTTCTGTAGTCTTTCACGAATTCCTTCCACCATTCGTTTTGTTTTCGCCATATTCGCATCCAGTATCTCCATATTGTTCCGCATGATACCGAGTTTATGTACGTACAACTGCATCTTTTCAAAGACTTTGTTTATCTCTTGCATTTCCGCCTCTCTCTCACTCAGTTCACTCTTCACTTTTGTAATAGCCTGCAGTGTTGTCTCTTGCTCTATTTGCACATCGTGAAGGAGATCAAAGGTACTGCCAAAGACCCCATCGTGTACAGCCGTATATAGATGTTGTGTGATGTCTTTCTGGGGTGAAGTATCCAGACTAATAGATGTACACAGAACCTCTTCTTTCTCTTCTTCATTCCTTTTCGCCTCCTCTGGAGTATTCTCCTTCCCGTCAGAGATTGTATCCATGACGCCTACCATAGATGCAGTAAATAAGCGGCAAGGTACGAAAACAAACAAATAAACAAACAAGAATAAACAGAAGAACATTAATCAACAGTTCACCCCATCACAACATTATTATCATTATTATTATTAATATTAGTTAAAGCACCATGAAATAAAGAAAAAGAAAGAATATATATATATATACTTTGACTGTCGCCTATTCCATCTTCCGTTGCGCCACCACAGCTGTGGGATTCACGACGTACTTCACACCACTGCGCCTCTCCACCGTCACTCGGCACACACAAGACCCACACGCCGTGCAGCACCCCTCCACAACGGCAGGATCACTCCGCTTGTTCACATCCCGCAGACACTCTTCACGCCATGTTATTTGCTGATAGGCCCGCTCGCAGTTTCCTCTGTTTGTGCGCCGCACCATTTCTCCCTCCACACGTAATCCACGGGCCGCGAGTGTTGCCCGCAACGGCACTCCACTTCCCCGTTCCACCGCCACTCGCTGAAGGAGACTGCGCAGTCTTAACGCCTTTGAAGAGACGGGGGATGTAAACGATGGCCATCCACTGCTATGTTGGCCAATGGCACTAGACGGAGCGTACGCCCTGCTGGAAAAGAGAATAGTTTTACAACGACAACAACTGTAACAAACCTCATCCAAGACATCACTAGAACTACTACTGCTGCTGCTGTTATTATTATTATTATTATTATTATTTTGTAGTAAATCCAATTCTCCTGGCACAGGTGTAAACGGTGGGTCAAGCACTAAGGGTGGTGCATCTATCGTAGTACTACTACTACTAGTACTGGGATCTCCCATTAATGATGATGATGATAAGGGTGGTGTCTTCTTATGAGGAGAAATTCGTTGAGAGGAACTCTCTGTTTTTACTCTTGTAGTTGTTGGTGTTGTTGTTGTTGCTTGAGCGTGTAATAAATTAGATCTTTGTGGGATTTTATGTGAGGACAGCCAAAGCAAGGAATTACTTTGACGACCACCTGTGTGAACATAACGGTGGTTAGTAGAGGACTGAAACTGATGTGGTAATTTATTATTTACTCGTAATATCAATTTAAACGACATTTCAAGAGTGAATTACAACTCTCTCGTTCTCTTTTTTTTTCTGTTTGGTGTGGATAAATGTTTTCTCAATTCCACTTTCACCTAAACCAAAAAAAGAAAAGAAAAAAAAATACATATACATTGAAGCACACATAAATATACGCAGAGAGAGAAAAACACAACATATATGCATCCAATGACAAAAATAGTCACAAAATCAATATAATTAATGTATTTTCTTACTGTTGTCAAGTAATCGTTATTATTATTAATATTATTATTTTTCTCTTTTTTTTTTTTCTTTTTTCTTCTCATTTCATTCATTCTTCCCTACCTTTGAATCCCCAAACAAAAACAAGGTATTAAAATCTAGTGATAAGTTTTCTGCAATCCCACACACCCACCCCATCAGATATCCAGAACTATCACTTCCGCACATTTACTGAAATAACAAAAGGAAAAAGAAAAGAAAAGAAAAAAAAAGGAAAAATAATAATGCAAAAACATACAGCAGCAAAATACATACACACATAAAGACACGAACAAACAACCACATGGTGTTAACCCCCTCCAGTAGATAATGCACACAGACACAATATATTTCAATGATGATATCAAAAAGAAAAAAAGCATCGTGTGAAAGAATGAAGGAGAAATGTCTTTTACTTGACGTAACAAGAATAAATAAATAGTAATAGTAATAGCGAATAATAAAAAAAAAAGTGAGAGAAGTGAAGAGAGGAATAAGGCTCTCAATTTTACTTCTGTCGCTTTTTCCCAACATTCTTTGATGAACCACTAGCATTATTCTCAGAGGGAGCATTATTGCCACGTTGAGGTGGATGCTGCTGCTGTTGCTGCTTACCTTCCACAGTTTCTTCACCACGTGGAAGCTTTGAGTTTCCAAGTTCCTTGCGAATAATTTGCATAAAATTGGATTTGAAGTAATTCACCGCCTTTGTGGTACATATAATAGATGTGTGTTTCTGCTTTCCACTACCACGAATACGTACAATACATTTTGATGGGAGAATATCTCGCCCCTTTTCCCCGAGAAGGGCATCACTATTACTGCCGGCATGTCCTGCTGTAGTGATATCTGCAGATCCCATATTCTCTGGGGCGAGCGGCTCGAAGGTGTTGAAGTAATACTTTGATCCAATTTGGGCCGCCTCGTGGTGTACAAGTTCACCATCATCCTTCACCGCAGAAACATCTGCAAATCGGTTTAAAATAACATTTTCCCTTGCAATGATTTCTGCCCATTTATCTTTATCACACACAGTAGTGGTGGTGGTGGCTTCTACACCTGTTGTTGTGGATGATGGGGATGATGCTGTAGAGTTAACAAATCCACTTGGTATTGTTTGATCGACGATTTGTTTTAATTGCGATCCAACCGCCTCTCGCTTCAACATCGCCGCCGCCACTGCGTACTGTTCCCGCAAGTACTGCAAACCCTCTTCGCCGCTGGGCGCACTTCCGTCCTTCACGAGAAGACCGGCCTCTTGTGCCTGTTGCCATGCGGTCTGCACATATTGTTCGGCGGCCTCTAAAGCCTCTACGCGGCGTCGCTCGGAAAGACGGCCGCGAAAATTTTTATTGTGTGAAATAACGGCACTATTCGCCTCCGTTGGCACCTGCGCGAAGCCGCCTTTTAATACCACCCACACCGTCCCTCCACGTGTACTCTTACGAGACTTTTTGGATCGTGTCTGTTGTTTTAATTTTTGTTTTTTCTCCTGTTTGCTATTTCTCTCTCGCTGTGGACTGTCGGAAGTCTCTTTCGCGGCGTTGTTCGCAGACGCGGTTTTGGACACTTGTTGTTTAATGCGCTGTTCACGGGCATTCGCGCGAGTTATGTGAAATAACTTGCCGAGTTCAGAGAGAAGTGTCTTCTCCTCCTGCAGTTCCCGCTTCCCACCACCCTTTCCCATTTTCTACTCTTGTTAACGGATCTAGTTTACGTGTTTCTTCTCTCTCTCTCTATTTCTCTCTCTCTTTGTGTGTGAATGAGTGTGTATATACAGTTAAGTGATCACAAAGAATAAAAGGAAGAAGAAGAAACGGAGAGTGTTGAAAAAGAGAAGGTAAAGATAGTATGGTTCATTATATATATTTATATACATATATTGTATATAAAGAAAGAGAGAAACAAGAAACAAGAAAAGAAAAAATTGATGAGAAAATCATACACACTGAAAGAAAGAAAAAAAAGAAAAAAAAAAAAAGGCGTTTGTTATCATCATCAGAATAATAATCATCATTATTACCCATTCGTTGTCACTTCCTCCACTATCTTTCCTTTTCAAGTTCTTCTTTGCAAATGTTCAATGACAATTTGCATGCTTAAAGCAATAAAAATAAAAAAAAAAAGAAAAAAAAAAAAAAGAGAAAACATGCAAGAATACTAAAAGCAAAAATAGCATGCAATACCCCTCATGTATATATATATATGTATTGTATTGCATTCATTTCTCCCCTTTCCTTTTCCACTTCTGCCTGTATCTACGCAATGCATGTGTACGCAAAGACGCAGAGATAAAGAGAAAAGTAGATAGGGAGAATGAAATATATTTTAAAATAAGTGCAAGATATAAAGAGAGAATTGCAGTGAAAGAAGATATAATGTTTGTGATACGCACAAAATAAACACAAACAATGTAATAGAATATGTATATATAAATACATATACATTATATAAATATGTATAATTCCCTCGGAAGTAATATTTTTATTTTCGTATACTAGCAGTACGTGGTCGTACCTTCCTAAAAAGCAAGAAAAAAAAAAAAACAGAAATGTTCAACCATCAAAAAGCAAATAAATAAATAGATAACCAAAGATTAATACCAAAAGTCATAAGAAAAAAAAAAAGAAATTCATCCCCGCAGTACGAAGAGAAAAAAAACTTTTCCTTTATTTTTCCTCATATATATATATATAAGCAGTAGCAAAACATTATCAAATGGAAGCACTTTGAAGGAATAGCACCAAAGAAAAAAAGCAAAAAAGATGAAAAAGTAAAAAAAAGGGAACAAAAAAAATGCACAAGCGCAAAGATTAAATAAAAAAAGAAAAATGTGTATAATGCAATAATCAACATCATACTTGCTAAACTCTTTCCGGTAAGTACAAAAAAAAAAAAAAATGTAATATGAGCCTGTACCCATCACTCACGCCAGTGAAATGTGTACATAAATGCCTCTAATATTGTTGTGCAAAATATTGTCCATGCGGTGGCATCACCGTTAAAGTTTCATGCTGTTGAGATAAGCAGTTGAGAGCGGGACCTGTAGAGACGGCATACTCCGCCGGTGGATAATTCCCCCCATAATTGTATGCATTCCATTGTGGATGCATAGAAGGTTGCATGTAAACTGGAATTTGTGCCATATGCACATTTGTATGATATGCAATTGGATTCGTTACCGCCGTTGTTGTTGGTGTTGTGGTGTTTGTTGGCACTGCTTGTGGAGTTTGTTGTGGCTGTGGGTGTGGGTGCAGTACTTCCACTGGGTATGATGGGATGCCGCCGCCGGCTGCGGGGTAAAGTCCATGATGAGATGCCGCATTGGGCGGTAATCCCGGATGTGGTGTTATCATCGCTGTGGTGAATGCTGCTGCTGTTGTTGTAGTGGTTGTTGTATCTTGAGGAAGACAGGTCAGTCCTTGTACATACGGCACCAGTGAGTGAATAAAGTGACAGGATGAGCCGAGATTACACATTTTATTAAATTGAAAGTGAGCACAATGACGGGCTCTAATACCACCTGTATTCATCGTATCATTCGTGGGTGCGTTAGGGGTATCTGCAGTAGTAGTGGTAGTAGTATCACCTTCTCTATTATTATCATTATTATTATTATTATTATTATTATTACTGCTGACTCCATTATCATCATTCGTACTCTTCGTTGCAAAATGGATGAGTAAACTGTGTACATTTGAAGCCCCAACCGTTTGAAGAATCATTTCAGATGGAATAAGTTGCGGAACACTCTTTTCCTGATTGGGTGGGTATACATGTAAAATAACACCCGGCGGTAAAGTGGCATAGCCGTGTGTGTTCTTTCCACCGCGAAGGACTTCAGCAGAGAACTCACGTCCTCCAATGGCGGCACTGCTGATTACATTTTCATTCACATGTACCAATGTGCAGGATGGAATATGATGAGAATGAATATATTGACAATCCATCTTTTGTGTACAACGGCCATTTATATATCGTTTACATAATTGAAATCGGAATCGTGAGTGGGTGGTATATTGTTCTTGGAATGCCACGTAACGAACAGCCCCACGCGTTGCTACAATGTTTGAACTTTCAATCATGTAATGTTCTCGAATATCGGCATCATAAACAGAAAAGTGAAAACCTTCAGGGCACATCACCTCCTCTTTGGGATTTTTAAACATCATTTCTTCCAATTTGATAGCACTAATAACAGGAACCATGACAGCTTGTTCTTCTTGTTGCTGTTGCTGTTGTTGTGCTTGTTGTTGTTGTTGTTGTTCCTCTTTCATTCCCATTTCCTCAGATGTATGCTGTTCTTTCTTCTCTTTTCCCACTCCCTCTCTTTCGTTCCCTCGTTCTTCTTGTTCTTGTTGTCCTTGTTCCCGTTGGCGTTGTGGTGAAGATGATGATGATAAGGATGATGATCGTCGTGATGGTGGTCGTGGTAATGGATGCAATACGGTGAGTGGTCCTGTCCTCATATCATTATTAACTTTCATTGTACAATGCATCTTCGCTGCACTGTTATTCCCCTGTGAGTGTTCGCGCTTTAATTTCGCACTCAACGCATCCAACTGTCCCTCTTGAAATGCACCACTTACATCATTAGGCCGAAGTGTGGCATTATATGGTTCAATATCGTTTTCCTCATCATCCACGTGCATTTCCCCATCATGTTCTCTATCATAAGTGTCATTATGTGCATCACCTCTACGAAACGGGGTTTGACTAGATGTCTGTGTTGTACTCCACGATTTAAGAGAGACAGGACTGTTGCTGTGCATTTCAGCGTGTTGGGGAGATGAATGTGGACAACTCGTACTGTTCCTGTTGCTGTTAGTGTTATTATCAAACATACCAGCACCACTAGTATTACTAACAGTAGGCATACCAGCCGGAGTACTACCAGTGGCAGCGGGCAGAGGAGAAATAAACGTGGGAACAATATTATGCACAAAACATGAGGGCGACGATAAACTCCCTGTACTACACCGCCGATAAATACCACTGTTCACAGAATGATGCTGAGGTTGATTATTGTTATTGTTATTATTATTATGAGTGTTCATAGTACTACCACCCTCATCCAAGAATGCCGTTGCGGGTGATTGTAGTGAACCCCAATGACTCGTAGACGGTGTAAACAACGGACCCGCCGGTTCTGCAAAACCCGGCCGCATCATTGGAGATGACCGCGTAGAATGCAGCGAGAAACTCCGCTGCCGCGCCTCACAAGACGGCGATGTACACAAACTCGCAGCCGCACAAGCACTGAGGGATGGTGAGAAACGACCACGCTGCGTCGCACAGAAGGCACTGTTCGCACGATTACGTGTTGGCCACGCAGACTGCGATTGTAGATGTGATTGCATGTGTCCCTGCGACTCCAATGAGACTCCCTCATACATGGAAAGTGTAGAGGATGGTGGACGGCAGAACTCATCTTCTTCATCGCCGCCAACTCCATGGGCCACGGCATCTGTGCTCATAAACGCACGTGCGTAATCATGTGAAGAAGCTCCAAATCCACTACCCATACAACTCGCTGCCGCATTTGATGTGACTCGTAAAGCGGTGGGGGAATTTCGTACGGCGGGGTTTGTTTTAATGGCTACGGTTAAACTGTTACTCGCGAGTGAGTTGTGTGCGGTAATACAAGGACTCTGTCGATTACCGGCATTCACAGAGTCTGTTGTGGGTGATGTTGGGGTTAGTGTATAAGGATTATGCCTCCAAGATACGGGTGATAAGGTTCGATCCAGTGGTGAATTTGTACGATTCCCAAATGTAATTTCCACACTGTGGCGATGTGTGAGTCTATCACGTTGCGGTGTATCACTGTTTTTATTAACATACTGCACTTGATTCTGAGAGTTTTTCCTCCCTGTTACTACCGTGTTGGTATTATTAGTATTATTATTATTAGTATTATTATTATTAGTATTATTATTATTAGTATTATTATTATTAGTATTATTATTCGCAATAGTATTGGTGTTTACATCATTCTTGCCTCTGCTGATATCTACATTCTGATCATCCATCATTCCAATACTCATACATGACGATCGTCGGCGTTGTAATTCAATAAGTGCACTTCCCTGCCCTGTTTGACTTCTACCAGCATAAACCCCACTTGTAGTAGTAGATCCCAAATCCACACTATCTGTTCTCTCTCGTTCCTCATCATTCTCTTCTTCCTGACCCTGCATCTGTTGATGTGAGAGTGGTGTGCAGGAGGTTTCAAATCTCGAGCCGTGCCGTACTACAGCACCCATCGGCGTTTCCCGCGGTGTCGTTTCGTTATTACTTCCCGCACCTCCAAAGAAGGCACTGTTGGAGTTTATTGTTTCCTCTTCCTGCTGCTGTTGCTGTTGTTGTTGGGATGAGGAGGAGGATGCCGTTGGCTGCTGGTGTGATTCGCGCTGGAGGCCAATGGAGATGGAGTTGAGTTGCGCCATTTCCAAATCAACGCAGGAGAGGCTGAAGGGGGAGTCAAAAATGGGAATTAACAAGAATACAAATCTGAACGTCGCGTAAATATGCGGAGAAAAACCAGAATTAGAAATACACACACACACACGCAAATAAAAACAAAAACAATATTTTTTAATTTAAAATAAACACACACACAACACGAACACCGAAATCAACTAAATATCCGAATAAAAGAAAGCAAATATAAGTTGATCCAAATATCGTGGAAGATCACTGAAGAAGCAAAAAAAAAAAAGAGCAAAAAGAAAAAAGAAAAGAATCAAAGAACTAACGCAATGGACCAAGCAAAATTATAATTATTATATCTATTCTTTGTTGTTATTGTTTTTTTTTTTTTTTTTTTTTC